GGGGGGGGGGGGGGGGGGGGGAGGGGTTTTTTTCAGCTCTCAGAGCTGCAAGATGTCTCACTAGACGAACCATTGTAATGTTGAAGACGCTTGACCTCCTCGTACGCCCACTCGAGGCCGGGACAGTAGTGCAGTGGAGGATTAAATCTGCAGTCATTTATGTCATCAGGCAAGAAAGCTCCATTCTCCACGAGGAACTTCACAGCTTCCTTCCTTCTCTCTTTGGCTGCACTGTGCAGAGGTGTCCCTGGGGTTCAATGTCAACATAATCAATGTTTAGGATCTTTACAACAAGGCTTCAACGTTTTATCTATATTCTTACCCATCCTAATGCCAATATCTTTAACTACTTTCAGAACAAGAAAATTTGGTTGTTTATCCACATTTGTTCAAGGAAATATAAGAGCTTTACAAGCCCGAGCACCACCGCGTGCCTACAGTCTATGCCTACACGGTGCATGTCTGCTTGCTCCTCAAAAGTGTTACGTATAGTGAACCCAGCAACATAGCATCAACACAATATTTACCAGACATAACATGTGAGATCCATTATAAGGGTGTGGAAACCTCTACCTAGAAGAGGCATTTTAAAAATCTTGAGAGAAAACCCATGAAGGATAGTATCCGGTAGCAGTGGGCTTGGCTGTTACAAATGGCATCAAAGCCAGACACCAAAGGGGGGTGGATACGAGGCAATGTGCCAGCAAGGATGCTAGGCCCTGAAGGAGGTGGATTGGGGGGTCCCACATCGATTGGAGAAGGGAACACTCAGCCCCGAAGGGGGGTGAATTGTGAGATCCCACATTGGTTGGAGAACGAAACTTTCTTTATAAGGGTGTGGAAACCTCTCCCTAGCGGACGCGTTTTAAAAAACTTGAGAGTAAGTCCGAAGGGGAAAGCCCAAAGAGGACAATATCTGCAAGTGGTGGACTGGGAATTCATTTCCGTTCCCACTATGCGCTCCCTACTTAATCGTGCTCCCTGTCCCATGGAGAAAAAGAAAATCTCTATCACGAATCAGCCATACTCTTAAATCTAGTTTTTCTTTCCTTCTCCCTTCTTTAGTTTGTTTTGTCAATGAATTTTAGCAAATGTTAATTCTTTGTTCTTCAGATTCCATTCTATTGGGCATAGCTTATTCATTTCATATTTAACAGTACAAGTTAGCAAAACTGTTCATGATTGAATTGAATGAGATCACTTCCCAAGAGCTTTTCTAAAACTCCAAATACTTGATTCATCAATAACAACAAAATACCAGATAAATTCAGCTAATCAATTCAAGCTTTATATTGAATGAATCCGTAAGAGATAAGGATACTTACAGCCACAAGCACCTTTGGTTCTAGCATCAATGTTGGCACCACGTTCAAGCAATTCATCCATTAAATCAAGATGCCCACCCTCCGCAGCAAGGTGAAGGGGTGTCAACCCCTTCGATTTGGGGCCCCATGCTTCTGCATTCACATCCATTCCTTCATTCAGCAGACGCTTCACCTGATCAAGATTTGCAAAACAAAATTCAAGAATCAATCAACAAAAACAACACCCATCATCACTTCAACTAAGAAAATAGCAGAGGAGAAAACGAAACCCACCTCTTTAAGGTCACCCTTTCGCGCACCAATGTGGAGTGAAGTCCACCCCCTATCATCCCTATTCAATACTTCATTTCGGAAGGAACGCCTTCTCGAAAGGCTTCGACTCATCGAGCCTCTCTGTTCTTGAGGCATGATCTTAAATCCCCCCTTCAATCAACTCACTCACAATAGTTCGTTAAATCACAAACTAGAAACAGAGCTCCATTCAACAACAACTCTTATGGAAATATGATCAAAAACAAGAAAACCCAGAACCCAAAAAAACAAGAACTACATGATCCTTGGGAAGAACAAAGTAAAATCAAAATGCTTAATGAGTATTAGGGGTAAAGCTAAAATCAAAGAGAATGATGAGCAAGGCAGTAGGGTGCAAAGGGATTCAACCCAGTACCAAAAACACGAAGATTATGAACGATTACGATGAAGTTCATAAAGGGTTTAGAGATTATAATCATAACTGATGCGAAATCCTTATCTCTTGATTGAAGAAGCAACAGATGGGGATGGTTGGAGGCAAGATTTGGCGCGGATTAAAGAAACCCTGCTTTGAATCGGATAGAACTCAAAGGCATATAAGAGCAGAGAGATTGAAGCGAGGGAGAGAAGGTCCAGTAGATTTCGGTTGGACTGCTTGTAATTCTACGCAGAAGGAGCTAATTTTGAAAAGGCCAACTCAATTACGCTCACGGACTAAAACAACGGAGGATCTTTTTTTTAAAATAAAATTGGTAATACTTGGATTTGTATTTATCTTAATTTTAAAATATATTTAATACGTCTTTAAATTTTAATATATTTTTTTTTATTAATTAGTCATTAAAAACTTACTAAAATACAAAGCCTACTAAATATAAAATTCAAATAAGATTTTTAAAATCCGAAAAATTACCTGAAATGCATTCAACCTAAAATTAAAACTTTAGGAATTTATTAACGTATATTTAAAGTTTAGTAACCTATTTAAAGAAAATTAATTTGTATTTGACATTTTGTAAAATTTTGGAGGCATACTTAATTATTTATAAACTAAACTTGAAAAATAACATATTTTTTAATATTATATTATATAATATAGAAGAAAAAAAATCAATTTATACACTTAATAATTCTACCGATTTAAATCTTAACTTTCGATATTTTAATTGATTTAAACTCCTATATATTTTTTTTTAATTACTAACGAATAGAACACTTCCTCGATTGCATTATTAACATTTCTTCGTTAGTATAATTTTTTTTTCTAACTTATTTAGAAAGAATTATGTGATAATTAGTCTCATCATTAATAGAATTTGGGAAGAATAATAATTTATTAAAGTGTTTTTTAATTGAGTGAAATTAATTATAAATCACTAATAAATGGTCTAAATTGATTCCTAATAAAAAAAAATTATGATTTTTTAAGTAGAACGATGAAGTTTAGGGTAGTAACCCATATAACTTTCTTAAAATTTCTCAGGTACATGAAGTTCTCTTTTTTAAATTTGTGAAATTCCATATCGGTTGAAGTCTTGAAGAGAGAAATCTTGTATAGAGGAACAAAGTATTTCTTATGAGGGTGTGTAAACCTCTCCCTAGCAAATGCGTTTTAAAACAGAGAAGTTGACGACAATACATAATGGACCAAAGTAAACAATATCTAATAGCGGAAGAAGCTTCTTACGCATTTCCAAGATTGTATCCTTTTATAAAGAAAAGGTCATTTCTTAGGATTCCATAGTTCATAGGCACAGAGTAAACTAGACTGGGACGACTCTGGAACAAGAGTATTAAAGTCTTGTTTATTTTACAAGTGCCACAATGACTCGTCATTTTATACCCTTACAAGGAGGAGTACAATTTTAAGAACAAGAAAGATGAAGACAATCAATCAGAGCAACTTTCATTGATCTGCACAGAAGGGAACTTTGAAATGCCTTCAATAAAGCTACTCACATACTTCAACTTGCAAGGGGCGATTCAGCCAGATTCTGACGGTGGCTTTTCCTTTGGATGTTTGGAGGCATAGTGATCACCCAATTGGTTATGATTTGCTAGTTGCACCTATGGTAAGAAACAGATGATTAGATACATAGTCGAAAAAACCTTCTGAGCATCATAATGGGAAACTTCAAAATAGATGAATTTATAACTCTCTTCTATGTCTAATTCAATATTTAGAGTCTCTATGACTTCGTCCCACGTGCCAAGGGAAAGTATTCACAAAATCCCACGAGAAAAGTTTGATAGACATGGATTCTAGTAGTAATGTGAGATCTCACATTGGTTGGAGAGAAGAATGAAACATTCCTTATAAGAGTGTGGAAACCTTTTCCTAATAGACACATTTTAAAGCTTTGAGTGGAAGGTCCAAAAAGGAAAGCCCAAAGATGATAATATCTGCTAGCGGCTTGGGTGGGCTTGGGCTGTTAAAAGTATGTGTACGAAGAGAATGGTATACACACATTAGACAACACATGGGGAGGAATGAAAAACTAGGCATTCCACTTCTTCAAAGGCAAAAGATCAATCCACAGCCTAAACATAAAATTTGTAGAAAATTGGACATTACAAAGTAAGCATTTGAACTCAACAGACTTAACACCCAAATGATGGTAAGTTTGGCACGACAAGTACCTGAAGAAACGAAAGTTTTAATACCCAAGACAGGTTGCTAACTATATATATGCAAATCGAGTCTTATCCTGCGTTGCTTGCTTTTTATGTCTTAGAGATGGTGAATATGTGAATCATTTGTTTCCCCTATTGCCACTTTGCTATTGAGGTTGGATGTACATCTTAAATGAGTTATCCCTTTGTGTGCCTAAAAGTGGTGATAATTGGCAGATAGAAGCTCCAAGGGGCTGGTGTTTTAAAGGCAATGATCTTTGAAGATAAGATAAAACTTTGTTAGTCTTCTAATGACTATTAACAATTGGAAGGCTCTCCTTGTTTAGGCTCTTAGGTTGTTATCATCTATCCCAAAGAAAGAAAAACACAACATACAAATTAGGAATCCAAAGGAGTAAACAAAAAGAGAATTATCCTCAGATGTTCTACAAATAGAGCTGTGAATTTGGATATGGAGTATCAAATTCTTTGTTTTCCCAATAATCATGAACTCAATCACAATTTAACTAATCTGGCAGCATTTCTCGTAACAAGAGAACTTCTTAAGACAGTATCAGAGCTACACATAAAAAATCTTGAATCATAGTTTCTATTCAATATTTCAAGTAGATGGCTCCTATATTTTGTAGCCTGAACTCAAAACCTCTTTATCATCTAGAATTAAGGCTTGAACATTTTCCAGTCAATAAACTCATAGTTCTGGTACCAGTCCTGCCAAACCCTATAACAGATGATCCGCCAAAATGATCTACTTTTGGATTCTACCATTGACTTAAAATGAAAGAGAAAACCAAAATCAATCAAACTCCAATGAATTTCTTATCAATTGAGAGCATCGCAACAGCAATATCAAGTGCATTATAACCTAGATTAGAAAACAATACGGAAAAATGATAACTGGAAATGAAATTTTCTATTGCTTTGACATCATAAAATTAATAAGATTATGATCCAGATCAAAAAGAAAAAACAAACACTCAAATCCAATCGAGAAGATAATAGAAACAAAGATTGAAGAGATGAAGAACCTTGCAAATAGGGCAGATGACTTTAAGCGCAACGGCTCTAGCCTCGAACTGCGAGCCTTTCTGCTTCTGATTCTTCTCCGCATTTCGCCTCTGAGCTTCGATCTTTTGTTTTCCTCGGGTCATCTTCTTCGTTCAAGATTTTGAGAAGCAGAGGATCGGAAAATTCTGCACCAAAAATCATCAGCTTTATTTTACCGTAATGAATATCAAACCCAAGTTGACCGAATCCAGAAAGACAAAACTACCCCTCCATGTTTCTTCTTCTTAACTACGATTCTCATTTAACAGACTCATTTTTTCGTCAATTCACTTTTATAAATTATTACGAATATTGTGAAAATAATTATAATAGGTTAAAAATATATTTAAAAAGGATCTTCTTAATGGTTAATTAAATTGTATAAAATCATTTAGGCGTTTTAAAATAAATATATTTCATGATTTTTAGATTTTTAAATTATATTTATATTTTCATGAGTATTATTATTATTATTTAATCAATTTTAATAAAATAAAATAAAAACTAAACTTATGTTTGTAAAAAGTATATAAATCAAATTTAAGATTTATTCAAAATATATAAACTAAATTTAAGATCCTGTTCCTATTTAGGATTAACTTTTTATTTTTTATTTATTTTTGCCTCAGATATATTTTTTACAACATTGACTAAATAAATAGTCATTTTTAATAAGATTCACATTCCATATATTTAAATAGTCATCTTTTTTTTTTCTATTATATTTTAATATAATATATATATATATATATATAATTTTGGACCAGCTCGAAATAGTGATACATCCGGTCGTGTATTTTCATATTGGATTGGGTTAAGTAGTGTTATGGTGTTTTCATTTTTTAATTATATAATGCATGTCACGCTAATAATTAAAATATTATGAAGTCCAATATCAAACATTGACAAGTTTCAATATGTTACAAACTTCGAATATATTTGATCTACGTAACAATTCTAAAAGTAAAATACAACTGGATTGTGAAAACATTATTATTATTTGTATTAAACTGTATGGTTGAAATTGTTAGGGTGATATGAACCCTACTTGAATAAAGGCGGCCGTGAAACGACATCTATCCTCTAACCACAAAGAGTACGTTTAAACGACACTGTCTTCTGCTCCAGATCATATCCGACTAAAAAGTTAACCTGCGCCAAGTTCCCAAAAATGGCAAATTTCTTCGCCGGTGCCAAAGTCAAACAAGCCACATCTTCATTTACCAAAGCAAACGTATTCTCCAGCTGCAATTCTACGGCGGCGCCACCAGCAAAATGTGCCGTAATGATCGGAATATTCAAGTCGTCAATGCTGCTCACACCATAGCAGAGTTCCAAAATCCCAGATGGATCATTCACCCGCTTCGCTTTAACAACTCTTGCCAAAGCCGAAACGACACCGTCGTACATATTCGGGGGCAAAAGTGTCAATGTCGTACCGGAATCAATAATGATATTCCCTTCTACTACTGCAGACGACATGTTGTCTGCAACCTCAAACCTCTTGTTAGCAACCGAGATCGCTTCAAGAGTCAAGAAATAGTACGTATAGGGATGTTTCTGCACGAGAGGGGTAGAAACGACTTTTCGCCCCGACACGGCAGCTTCTTCACCGAAGCTTATTTTGCCTGTGATATTCCCGTCACTGAAGAATGTCGGCAAGCAATACGAGAACTGCCGTTTGACGGTGGCAATTGTGTTCAGTTGCGAAACCAAAGAGAGAGGGCCGCCGCCGAGTCCAACGATCCCCGAGGTCTCTCCGAGGAAAGTGCCGCCATTTTCGTGGCCGCATCCAATGACTACCTTGTTGAGTTTGAAGGACCCAATGGTAATTTTCTCATATGCCAGGTCACCATACGTGAAGGATTGGTCTCCGTAGCTGTAGCCATAGGTGCAGGTTTTGAGGTCGGGACCACAACGGTGGCTAACGATGGAGTTGCAAGTATCAGACGTGCAAGACACGTTGCTATAAGAGGATGATCGATGTGGATTAAAAATGGGATTTGATTGGTTGAAGCATTTGACACATGGCAAACATTGTGTCCACGTCAGGTCACTGCCAGTGTCGGCGATGGCGGTGAAATCCACCGGCGGGGTTCCAATAGAGAGGGATATTAAGAACTCGCCGCTGTCAGGTATGAGCGGAGAATGAACGCCGCCAGTGGAGACGGTGGTGGCCCGATTGGTGAGGGTGGTGGAACGGGAGAAAGAGCGGTTGAAGGCACCGGTAAGCCGTTGGTAGCGGGAGACAGATGGGTTGTGGAGAGGAGAGAGAAGGGAATCACGGTGGATTATAGAGGTGGTGAAGCCATTTCCACCACCGCGACCGGTGGCTGCTACGGAGAAGGAAAAAAGTAAGAAATAGAAGAAGATTGAAATGGCCGCCATGGATTCCGGTTTGAAAGCTTCAGAGGATGAAGATTTTTTACTAGACAAATATATATATTAATTATTTTTATTTTTTTGCATTTTTGACAGGTGAGAATTTGCATGGGATAATGTGACGTGGATATTGTCATGTTTCCTTGTATAAAATTTTCACCTTCTTATTTCTTCATTAAGTATTACCATCTTAAGTCTAATTGGATTGGGAAGAATTTGAATTTCTTACGTTTAAAAAAAATATAATAATTAATAAATAATATATTATTAAAAAAATATAAATATTATCATAATTTTTAAAAAAAAGTTTGGTTTTTTTACCAAATGGCACTTAAAAAAAATGGTTAAACAAATAAAAATAAATATTAGAAAGGCTAAGGACCCAAATGAAAATTATTATTTTGGTAATAATTGAGATATTTTTCCCTTTTTATTTTATTAAATTATTAGAACGTTTCATAAAATTAAATTTTGATTAATTAAAATTTGAAAAATGAAAATATAAAAGGTAAGTTGATCTCCAAAAATTATGAACCATATATAGAAATAAATTAAATTTGCAAGGAGAAAATCATGTGTTATTTTTCCACCTATTATTAAAAATTCCACCTCTTCGTACCTCAATTAGTTAAATTAGCAAATATTTTATTTGCTAAATTAAAAAAGAAAAAAAATATTGTCTTTCCTTTATTTTATAGATTGAGATATCGTAATCTTTTCATTTCAGCTCGATTTCAACATAATTACATACTTTTCTTTAATTGATTGTGTATTAGAACCTAAAACTGAATAAAGATGAATGAATCTAAACTAAATAAAGGACATAATATTTAATAGTTTTTCAGTATAAAATATAATACCACGTCCTTAATACAAATATCATATTTGACCTTACAATATTGTAAAGAAATATAAATATTGATCTAAGCATGACTTCAACTATATTCTCGACCAAAAAATTAAAAGAGTCAAAATTTCCGACCCAAATTACAAAAGCATTGTTACCATTTTGGAAGGCTAAGTCGGTACACAAAAGTCAAAAACTAATAAATATATTCCTCACATAGTTTTTTCAATTTTTTATAGTCAAATAAGCTATTGATTTTTACGTCAATAACAACACTACTTTTTTTTTTTTGTTTATATATATATATATATATATGGTATAATTTAGACAGTTTTCTTACTCATAAATTATTGTTTTAAAAAATATATTTTTGTATTTTTTTTTATGGAAAATTATTGAAACGTACCTTAGCATTTATAAAAAAATATTAACGAAGTTCGTAACACAATCTTTAATTTAACATTATAAAAAAAATCATTCGTATAAATTATAAAAAATATTTTATATAATTTAAACATAAATTATAAAAAATATTAATGAAGTTCGTAACATAGTCTTCAATTTAACATTCGTATAAAAGTTATAAAATTACTCAGAATCGTTAAAGGATCTATCTGTAATAATAATTTTGAATGAAAACAAAAATCTAGAACTAGTGTGACAGTTACTTAAAATGGCACAACAATATTTAATAGGAGTGTATATCCAACCTAACAAACCAACTCAACCCAAAATTATAAGGGTTTGGTTGGGCTAGTTTTATGAAACAGAAAATATTCAATTTTGAGTTAAAAAATTCCGGAGTGACCCGAACCAAAAAAATTATTATAAAATATTTTTAAGATAACTTGTCTGAGTGGTACTTGGTCGTTAATACAATTCTTGTGTGTGCGTGCAGTTCGAATTCGGATATCAATTTTCACTCATCACATAATTCCATGTCTATGTGTTCTATGGAATGTCTACACCATTGAAGGAGAAATTGAAGTTCATGTAAAATGGAAACTTTTAACAGTAAACGTCATTGAACTATACCATACAATTAGCCCTTTCTTGCAAAGAGTATTTAGCGTGATGAACAAAATTAAGGAAAAAACAACATAATCCAAAATAAGATTTCTACACTCATTTATCAACAACAAGAGAATTACTAATGTTGTTAGAGAAGATTATAATCATATAAACATAAATGATAAATCTATATTTTCTCCATTTCAAAACTCCAAAGAAATTAGGTTGATCTTCACCAAATTCCCTCGATTCAAAGTACTAATCCAAATATATATTTCATACCATATTTCTATATATATATAAAGAAACTTCAAGGGATTATGCTTGTGTATATAGTTGATTATATGCAAGAACAAGATTAACCAAAAACAGCAGCAAAATTGCGTACTCATTTTTTGATTTCTGGATCGCTGAGCTCGTCTTCAATGTCTGAAACATTCATCCTAGCCGAAGCTTGTTTTGCCCATTTCACAATTTTCTCAGCCTCCCGATTGATCTTCTCTTCCTCTTTCATTGCCTTTTTCAGGATTTTCTGTTGCTCTTTTGCCGAGAAAATGTTCAAATCTGACAGGAAATCGTTGTTCTTACCCCATCCAAGGCCATTATCGAGAGTTCTGTTGCTGCTGTTCTTCTTCTCTGAAGCTTTCTTCGGTGAACACCAAAAACAACCGGCTCTTCTCGGCGGAGATTGTGGCGGAGAAGCGAAGGATCCCGATTCTGAGCTGGTTTTTGACCGGATTTTGGTACCTTTCTTCGGTTCTAAAAATTCATCGATTTCACCAGATGAAGTCGAAGAATACGAAGGAGATGAAACGTACCTACATTTCGATTTCGCTCTGGAACTTCCATTTTTCGGCTTTTGATTGTCCATCGGTGGCGTTGAATTTCCTTTTCCCGATGAGGAATCCGGCAGACGCTTCGACTGAGATTTAGGGCTAAACCCTAATTCCTTCTTGTGACTCTGTTTAGAGGGAGAAAAAACTGCAAAATCATCGTCCGGTTTCTCATCGCAGGACTGTACAGATCGACTACTCTTCAAATCGAAACCGGATCTGGTCTCGGATTTGGCAGCAGGAAAGGATTTGAGCTTCCGAAATCGAGATTCAAGGTCAGTGGGAAGAACAGAGTCGGTGAAGCCAGAGCAGTTGATGGCAGAGAGTTGCTCGAGAACACAGAGATCCTGCGTTTGGGAAAGCAGATCTTCGACGGCCGAATCGTCGGTGTCGGAAAGAAAGGAGAAATCCGCCATTGATGAAGAAAACCAAAAAAAATGGAATCGTGTTAGGGAGGAAGCAGCCGAGTGAAGCCCGCCATAGGTGGATGGCGATTGGCGAAAAAGTCGGCAAAATAGGTTTCCAACGGCTAATTCATTTGTCACAAAGTCACGCCTTACAACAAGTGGAGCCCACGACACTGTTGTCGCTTTGGAACCCGCTCTTCCATTATCCTGAACCGGACCGGACCGGGCCGGAGCCATTGTTTACTCCCAATGACAATTTAGAAATATTATAATAATAGTACTGACTGAATTTTTGTTGTTGTCATTATTATAATTATTTGCATATTGTTATTTTTAAATTGTCTTCATATACTAACTAAAATCATGTACTAAAATGCGTTATAGATATTATAAATTCTTTTTTTTTTTGGTCAAAAGTATTAGTTTTGACCATCGTACCAAACACAATTAAAAATCCTCTCTTTCAGCTAATCCATTGTCCCTTTATTTCCCTTCCACATTGAAAGATATAATTTTTAAAAATAAAAATTAAATTAAATTTAAAGATATTTGTAATTTTTTTTCTTTTACCTATTTAAATATAAATTTTATGTTTTAATCTAATAGAATTATTCAAATTTAAATTTTAGTAATAGTTTTGTTAATTTAAAAATATTGAAACTGAATAGATTTATAATTAACATTTTTTAACCATTAGAGATAATATATACATATATTTTCATAAAAAAGAGAGAGTTTAGTGATTAAAATTAATTTAATCTAATTAAAATAAAACTTAAAATATTTATAAGAGAAGTTTTATCCACGTCATAAGGGAAAGACAATTGGTGCAACACGTGTAGGATTCTGATTCGTTGAGAGCTATAGTTGTTGAGAGACTAAAAACTGGTATGACGTACAAAGTGCATGTCCTTGGAGTTGAGGTGGAGCAGAAGAAACAAGGATACGGCCACAGGGCTGTCATCATCCCTTACATCACAGCATTCAACTGCTCCTCCTTTTCCCCTATTCTCAACCAATCACAAAAGTCCTGCACCCGTCATTCGTCACCGTTTCGGTCACACAAATTGTATTGAATTTCCCGATTTCTCCTTTGGGATGTAAACATTCGGTTGGGTAATGGAGATATTTTGGATCCTTTGGCTTCTCTGGGAAGCTTGTAAATTTGTGTGTTTTAGTTAAATAGTGTATCGAGGGTATTATTGTAATTGTAAAACCATATTTAAAATATTAAAACAAATTTGAAGAAAATTTATTTAAGCTTATATTGAAATTTTACCCATATTTCATTTCTACTAAGTTCATCCAATTTTAGTTAAGTTATATAGTTTTCAAAATAATAAAATAGTGTTTAAAAACATAATTTTAAAAAATTAAATAATTATCCGACAAAAAAATTAACAATTTGTCTTAATTAATTAAAAAATATAATATAATGAGAAAGAAGGTAAAGAAAACATTTATCGATGAACTTAACGTGTAATATGGGTTAAAACATGACTTTTATTTGATATACAAGTTTGTTTATCTTAAACTATATAATTACCAACTCCAAAGAGTAGACTTATGTATAAAATCTAATGTATATTTCTTATTTCATTATCAAAGTAAATATTTTTTATCAGAAATTTGCCTATTTATATATATAATTGATAAAAAAAATAAAAATAAAAAACGTATTTTCCGCCGTCGAAAAAGGTAGGGGTCTAATTTAAATATTAAAAAAAAAACACGAACTCATAAGTTTTAGTACGAAGACAATCACATAAGAGACAAAAATTCAACCAACCAAAGAGAGAAAATGCCATGGAAGAATCAGAAGAAGAAGAAGAAGAGGAGGAAGAAAGAGAATCATCAACCAAAATACTCAGAGCATTAGTAGAGTGGTTAGAGAGCAGTTGAAGAAAGGTACCATTTCCAATGCCTCCTTCCCGACCCATTTCCCATAAGAAACCTCCTCCTTCACCTTCCATTTCCAATCCCCAAATCCTTCTCTTCCACAATAATGAAGGAATCCAAGCCATGGCGCCCTTTCGCCGCTAATTGCTGCTCCGCCGACGACCAGACCGCCTTCGGCAACTTCAGCCGCTGCCGCCCCAACCGCTCCGATTTCTCCAAGAACATCGCTCCTTTGCCGTCGTTCCGGCGGCTTTCCTTTTCCGATCTCAGCCGGTCCTCTTCGATTCGATTGAACGAGGATCTAGCGGCGTCGTTTGGGGCTGATTTGTTTGACTTTCAGTTGAGTGAGTTGCGTGCCATTACTCAGAATTTCTCCAGCAATTTCTTGTTGGGAGAAGGGGGATTCGGCCGAGTTCATAAGGGCTATGTCGATGAGAACTTTCGGGCTGGGCTTAGGGCTCAGGCCGTCGCTGTGAAGCTTCTCGATAACCAAGGCTTGCAGGGCCACCGAGAATGGCTTGTAAGATAACATTGCCCCTATTCCAAGTCATTTTAATATCAAATATTTCAATAACAAAATTTCTGTGTGTTTGGTAGGCTGAAGTAGTGTTTCTTGGGCAGCTGAGGCATCCAAATCTGGTAAAATTGATAGGCTATTGCTGTGAAGAAGAAGAGAGGCTTCTTGTTTATGAGTTCTTGCCCAGAGGCAGCTTGGAAAACCACTTATTCAAAAGTCAGCTTTTCTTCATTACTCTAAACCAGTTTAGAATTCCGAGTTTTTTTCCTCATTGCTGAGCACTTGCAGGGCTTTCTATCTCGTTGCCATGGACTACGAGGCTCAAAATCGCCGTTGGAGCAGCGAAGGGCCTCGACTTCCTTCATGGGGCAGAGAAGCCTGTCATTTACAGAGACTTCAAAACCTCCAATGTCCTGTTAGACTCGGTTTGTCTTCTCAACTGCTCTTGTTTATGATCTTACCTTCTTCTTGCAGTGTTTTTGTAAGAAGAAAACGAATTGATATAGCAAAATCTTGGGGGGTTTCTTAGGATTTTACAGCAAAGTTGTCTGATTTCGGACTGGCAAAGATGGGGCCTGAGGGATCAGACACCCATGTTACCACCAGAGTGATGGGTACATATGGCTATGCAGCCCCTGAATACATCTCCACAGGCAAGTTTTCTGTCATTTTCATCTCTGGTTTTCAATTGTGAACTCTGCATGAAGTTGCATCACAAAGATGGTTCATTATTGTCCTTTAATTCTGGCTCAACATTCTAAATATTTGGCTCACTTAGAATCTGATGACATAGTATTAGAGCACGTTCAGTATTGTCCTTTACTCTAGCTCCTACGAGTAGTACCCTCAAGTTAAAAGGGTTTTTAGATGTTCGGTTGTAGAATCCTATAAGAGCTCTAGCCCACCGCTAGAATATATTGTCCATTTTGGTCCGTTACGTATCGCCGTCAGCCTCACGGTTTTAAAATGCATCTACTAGGGGGAGGTTTCCACACCTTTCGTCAGCCTCACGGTTTTAAAATGCATCTACTATGGGGAGGTTTCCACACCTTTATAAGAAATGTATCATTCCCCTCTCCAACTGATGTAGGATTTCACAATCCACCCCCTTGGAAAACCAGGGTATATGTATTGCCATCAACCTCACGGTTTTAAAACGTGTCTGCTAGGTAGAAGTTTACACACTTTTATAAGGAATGTTTCGTTTCCCTCTCCAACCGAGGTGGGATCTCACGAATTCATTCTTGGTTTTTGAACACGAGGTCAACATTTAATGACTTAAAACCTTTGTTGTCTCCTGATATTGACCTTTAGGTGTCATGCAAGGAGTGGTGTTTGAGTTTGATACCTTAAGCTTTTAGGTTGAATGACTATCATGTTGAAGACATAGGCCTCCAATAAATATAGTCATTGTTGGAGTAATCCTAGAGCCCAACATCCATTCTCAAATGTAGTCTTGTCTAAACACTAATGCGGGTTGCGGTCTGATGTTCATCTTAGGGCACTTGACAACGAAAAGCGACGTGTACAGTTTCGGAGTGGTACTTTTGGAGCTTCTTACAGGAAGAAGAGCAATGGACAAATCAAGAGCAAAGAATGACCAAAACCTTGTGGATTGGGCAAAGCCATATCTCAGTAGCTCTCGCAGGTTGCACTTCATAATGGACCCAAGGCTTTGTGGGCAGTATTCAGTGAAAGGGGCAAAGGGAATGGCCAGTCTAGCCCTCCAATCCACAAGCTTGAACCCTAAAGACAGGCCTAGAATGCCAGCCATTGTTGAAGCTCTTGAAGGCCTTCTTCAGTTCAAGGACATGGCTGTTACATCCGGCCACTGGTCTGCCTCTGCATCACCCAAACATGCCAGAAATGGCGTCTCTGCTAAGGCAAAAACCGAGACAGGACGAGGAAATCTCTCTAGATCTCAGGCTGCCGTGAGCCATGGATGATATATATGTGTGTATATATATATATTTAGGCAAACAACTGCAGAGTTTCTACTATGTGAATATATATGTGTAAATCTTGACTGCTTTGCTACACTACAATATGTAAATGAAGAGTTCCTCCCCTTTGATGGGATTGGTCTCATCTTTATCAGAGTATAAATGTTAGAAGAATTGAACTGAAGAACAATCCAAAGGTTGATGAAAATGGCTTTAGGTGTCTGTTTTTTACAAGGATTTTGCACAACTACTGCTAACCAAAGCTACCTAATCATAATCCTTCAATAAATAGTAAGGATTTTGCACTACTACTGCTAACCAAAGCTACCTAATCATAATCCTTCAATAAATAGTAAGCTTAGTTTTGATTCTAACATGTTTGATCTCTAAATTTTGTTCTTGATTTCAATTTGGTTGTTGAAGTTTGAAATTGGTTTCTCATAGTAACGGTGATCTTTTTAAATCCAACTTTAGTTTTTGGTTTGAAAGTTCAAATCAAAACTAGAACTATATTCAGAACAATTGAAATGAAATGATGCATTGAGAAAAAAAGAAGGAAAAAAAAAAGGAACTAAAATCAGGTATGGAATGAATAATGATAACAGTGAGATAAATTAATACAATCTACTTGAACTACTGGAAATCCTACTACTTTCGAAGTGATCATAAGCGTGTCTGGTTCTCAAGAACAGTAACACGCTAGAAACCAATCCTACAACAGAAATGCATCCACAAAATACAAAAGTCAAGAAA